TCTGATTGGTCTTATTAGTTTCCTCTAGGTATCTGATCACATTGAAGTCTCCACCCACACACCATGACCCCTCCCATAGCACTCTTATATCATCCAATTCCTCCTAGAAAACCTCTCTCTCTGTAGTCATTTGGCCCATAGACATTTGTAAGCACCCACACAAATCCATCCTCCTACTGTTTGAACTTCATGGAAACTGAGCATCTTCCCATCAGTTCCTCCAGACCTTCAACCACATCCCTCTTCCATATTGTCACTATCCCCCCTGAAGCACCCCAAGATGGGGCAGCCACCCAACTGATCCCCCTGGCTTTCCATACACTCCGTGCCCAACTATTATTAAACTCCATTCTCTTGAATTCCTGTAATAGTACTATGTTTGGGTCGAACCTCTTTATTACCTCTTTTATTGTTGCTCTTTTCCTTGCACTTCCCTAACCCCCTCAAATTCCAACTTAGTATCTTCAATCTCACTTCTTTCTTAATTCCCTTCTGCCCTTCACCACTACTTTCCCCCTCCTTTCCCCTTCTGCCCCAAACTTCTTGTCTCCTTCCACATCTCTTCTCAATCTTTCCACTTCACTCAATTTTCTCTTCCTCTTTTGTAGACCATCTTTCAGCACATTCAAATCTTCTAATCTGCATCCCAACTTCCCCACAAAATCCGCTATCAAATCCTCTTGCTTAGATCCCCCCCCAACAGCCCTCCCTACACACTCCCCTTCAACCCTATCCTCCTCTCCTTGGGTCCCTCCCCTCCTCTATCCTCTCCATCCTTCCTTCCTATGATGTTACCTCCCACCTCCTCTATGCACTCCACAATTTCCTTCCCAACCCAGCCCTCCTTTCCTTCCCTCCCCTCCCCTAAGCCCTCCTCTCTTCTGTCCTCTCGACCCTCTCTCCAAATTAAATTTCCTTCCACCTCATTAAATACTCTCAATAATCTCCCATGCTTTCTCATTTCTTAACCTCCCTTCCCGCTCCTCTTCACTAGTTTCCAATCCCCTTCCCAAAACCTTAGAAATCTCACCACCTTGACTGGATGCACATACATGGTCTGCAGGACATGGGTCGGGAGCAGAATCTGGAACACAGGACACAAAAGACACATTAGTAGCATAAACTAAATTCACTTGGTTACCTAGTTTTGATAGAGGGGTTGGAATAAAATTGTTCCCGACCTCCCTTTCTTGATCCAGAGGTTGGTAAAAATCTATCTCCCTAAGTTGGTTGGGAAGACCATCTATCCTTGGTCAACATGGCGATCTTTCCTCTGTACCCTTGATTCACCCCCGCTTGGTGTGTTCCTGCTTTGCTTCAGGTTTTCCTGATATCCCCTTTCTTGTGTTGCTTGCCAAATCTGAAGTCTTGAGAATGGGTTTTTTCGTGTACTGACTTCATTCTCATCTAACTTGTAGAGTCCCAAGCTTCTTTCTTCCTCTAGTCAACCTTCCTGGCCTCCCATTAACTCACTCTGAAACAACCTTGCAATGTTTCATCCTCCCATGTCACATGCAGTATAGCCACCTTTGTCATTCACGCTGCCAATACCGATACCATCATCTGAATCTTCTCCTTCATCTACACTACACATTACCCAACCTTCGTCTGCCTCCTCCTTCTCTTCGGCTCTCTCCCTTGTGTACCTTGGGTTTGGCTTCTCTGAGAAGCGTCACCCTAGGCTCCGTTCCTCACTGGTGTGACGTGGGACCCACTGGAGGTCCCTTTGCTTGTCCGTTTGCCGCTGCTACAGGCTGCTCTCAACGCCCCTAACCATTTAAGATGATGATAGACCCAAACTCCTGTCCATCATCCGTTCAAAGCCCTTCTCCTTCGCCCGACCCACATGACCATTTAAGTTGTCAAGTGGGTCACTTAAAAATGATTTTGGTTTGTTGTGTGGTTCGCCCGACCCCCCTATCAACTCGACCAGCTTGGACCGAGCTAAACTGCAACCTGGGCCACTCCCTTTCTTCGTCACGTCAGCGAAGGATAAAGAGCCCGCCTTATCTTTAAACCTTTCAAAAAATTTTGAATTAATTACGTTAATTGGCTGACTTGTCGATTGAGTTACCCAGCCGTCCCATTAAATCTTTCCTTAAATTCCACCTGCGCCCCTTTTTGACCGCCCTCTCTCTGCCCTCCACGTGTCCACCATCCTTCCAGCTCATCGTCTTCAACCTTGAATCCTCTTCCCCATCACACCTGTTCGACTTCTGAAGCTACCCACACCTTTATACTAGACTGCATCCGAGCAAATCTCGACGCACCTAGGCATGTCTTCGTGTTTAACACCAGCCACACGAACCTCGACGGTGGCCAAACTACGTTTATCAGCTTCCACCAACACTCCTCCTAAGATCTGTGCTATATGTTCAAGAACAGAGTCCCACCACAGGTGGAAGGGGAGACCTACAAACTTCAGTCGAACGCAACCATCTTGTAGTGCAGCTTCATTACAGCTGGGACTCCAATTCTGGACCTGTATCAGGCCCCGGTCCACCTCTACAGCTTTGAAGCTTAGTTCCTGGTTGCCAACATCCAGAACGACTTTTGAATCTGTAAATGGAACCAGCAGGGCTTCGTTTCCAAAACCAATATCTCCAGCTACTGCATTCAACACTTTCTTCCAGTCTGTCACTTCTTTATCAGCCTTCAGAACCATTCTTCTCCTCCATACATCTGTCCCTGCTCCCACCAGAATTCTCCAATGCACAGAATAGCAAGCCACCACCACACCATCGTTCAAGGTATTTTGAGCTTCTGCACTCCCGGTAGTTCTAATCGAAGCTGACTCCTCCTGATCCTTCCTACCCTGGTCCTTGGAATTTTGACCAATTTCCTCCACTCCTTCTATCCTCCTCCTTCCAAAGCTACAAGGAAGGACTGCAGCACCTTCCTGATAGTCCTCCACCCTTTCTGCATTCTCCCTTCCGGCACACAGAGCATTTGTTTTCCAGCTCTTCCAAAGAACTCCTCCACCGTGATGAACCACCCCTTCCAATTTCTTTTCAGTTCAATTGCATATTTCTTGCCTGGAACTGACATTGAGTTCTTCCAGCCATTCACCTTGCCGGAGTTGATAGCCCCATCTATAAAACCTTTCATCCACACAATGACATCCTTTGGTACCAGTATTGTCGCCCTGCTGTTCTCTCTAATGTTCAGTGCTTCCTTACCTTTGATCTGATCCTCCTCGAACTTTAAGGTCTTAGCTTCGATCAACACCTCAGACCTCCATCTTCCTACGGTTCTGAATCCCCTCTCCCCCTCCATCTTAGCTCGTCTGCATTCACCTCAGACCTCCATCTTCCTACTCAACTGCTAGGCTCTTTCCACTTCACTCTTCTTCTTTCTTCTCTTTTTTATTTCTCTTTCTTTCCCCTTTCTAGTATAGGTTTTGACATTGGGACCTGGTTCTTCCACTCGCCCATCTCCATCACCCTTTCCCTATTCTGAATTTTCCACATTTGAGCAAACTGGATCATGCTCTAAACCTGGTTCTTCTTTCTCTTGTCCATCCCCATCACCCTTTCCCTGTTCTGAATTTTCCCCATTCGAGCAGACTGGGTCAGGCTCTAATCCTCTAATTCTTTCCTCCTCTTCCAGCAAATTAGAGAGATTGCTGAATACTAAACCTAAGACTTTATCCTCACTCAACTCCACATTTTCCTCCAAACTCCCTGAAACTGCTAAAGGCCAAAAAGCACTAGGGCAATCAGCATTCACGAGCTTTGTAAAACACAAATTGTAACACATTTTGTAAAGCACTTGGAAGATCATTTAACAAACATCCGAACTAATGCAATTTCTAAAACATAATTAACTAGTTGTTTGGGCATGCTGGGAATGTTAGAAAAAGTGTATTACCATTATACAATAATTTTTTTGTTAATATATCGGTATCAGGGATAATATTGTAATTTTCTCTATGCTAATAGAAGTGAATATGTTTGGAACAGATACCACACGATTGATTAATGACCCCAAACTCTCTCCACATTCAATTTTCTCTTTTTTATATCCATTCTCAACTTGAGGAGGAGTATAGAGAACAATTACGGCCCTATTTGGATAGACTTTTATAAAAGTACGAAAGTACGAAAAACACGATATAGTGTTTGTTTCATATACTTTATATTTGCTTTCGTACTTTTGGAAAGCATGAAAAACACCAAAAGCACGAAGTCAGCTTTTTATACTTCGTGCTTTTGGCGAAATAGTACTTCTGTTTTTGTGCAAACAGCGGGTCACATGCGACCACCCTTCGATAAAACTCTTGACCCTACCTTTGCTCCCTGCTGATAGAGTCGGAATCACTGGTCTCAGACCACAAAACCACTGGAAACCATCACCAGAAGCACGAATGGATGTGCTTTTGCCAAACAGAAAATGGTACTTCTGTTTTGGAAATCATACTTTTCAGAATTTTTTACCCAACGGTTTTGAAAGCAAAAATACGAAAGTAAAAGTATTTTATGTACTTTGTATTTTGGTATTTTTAAAAGTACAAAAAGTAGAAGTCTATCCAAACAGCACCTAAATTATTTGGATGTTTTATTTTTGTCTTTATGATTATAGGGTTATTTTTGCATTTAATTTATTTTTACCAAAACAGGGCAAATTTGTCATTTACTAATCCTGTACAGTACAATATAAAAGCAATAGAAGCAGTAAATGGGGTGCATAGTCTTTTCCTCTCTCTCTCTCTCTCTCTCTCTCCTGCTTGCAGCTACATATTTTTTTATTTTCTTACTGCATTTACAGGACTGTAACAAATTAAGTATGCCTAATACATGGCAACAACCCTTATTTCACACAACAAAGATGATTTATTTTTTCAATTTAATCAAGTCCCAAACTGGTTCTGAGTACCAAGATGACAGTAACAAACAAGTCAAAATACGGCATATTGGCAGGTGATATAAAAAAAATTATAAATTAGACACAAATGAAAGATGGTTCTGAAATAGTAAAAAGAAAAGTTGATAAAGCCTTACAAATGGGCAATGATGATCCATGTCCAGTATGCACATTCCACATGAACGACAATGATGGGCTCGTGGTGATTTTGGCTTTGAACAATACAGACAAAAGGTGTAATTCTCAAGGCCAGCTTTCCCCACAACTGGATAGCTACCCCAGAGTATGCTTGGTGGAGTGCCAGCACAGAAAAATGCTGCAAGGCAGAAGCTAGAAACTGTACTTATAGCCAAGATCACTGTTATGATAGAATGAGAAACCCCACAGAAATAGCTGATAGAAAAAACAACTGGATAAACTGCCCATACTCCACCACCTGCAATTTTTTGGATAGAAGCATGAGAGACATAGAATTTATAGCAATTAGAAACTGCAAAAGAGGAACTAATCCAATTTGAACACTGGCCTACATGCTATGGCTGGAAAAATGAATGCTTTTGGATATCAGAGCTCCAATATCTCCATATAAGAAACATCACATTATAAATTTAAATCAAGGTGAATACCCAACATTGGTTTCAGATATCTGGGGTCTTGAGTACACCAAAAAATGATCTAACCTTTGACCTTATTTTGCACAAAGTAGCTACTCTCAGACTCGAAATCCACATTCTCACACTTCGCCAGCCCAAGATTTAACCATTACACAAAGTAATGGTCCTTAGATTACAGATTTGCAGTACTATAAAAGGAAAGAAGGGGAGAGAAATTATGAAACACAAGAAGTTAACAGAATATTTACAATACTCAATCAGCAACTTTCTCTCCAATAGGAGCTAAACCATTCAGGTTGTACATATATGGTACACTCAGATAATCATGTTTTTGAGTGACCCTGCATGTGCAGGGGTGACCAGGTTTCAAATCTTGGAAACAGCCTCTCTGTATGTGGAGGAGGGTGAGGGGTGTAAGGCTGCATACATGTGTCCATCCCCAGACCCCGCAATGGCGGGAGCCTTGTGCACTGGGCTGCCCATTTTTTAGATAATCAGGTTTCTCAGGTACAACACAGGACATTGAGCAATATGTACATTAACCATGAACAGGGAGATGGGGAGAAAAAACTACATTACGAGATTGGCCTTGTCTAAACTCTACTTATGTAATATGAAATGTTTTTACATATCAGATATACTATATAAAGAGGATACTTTCCTAGGGTTTTTTGCAGGTTATAAAAGTTAAATCCAAATTCCATGCATCCTATATGGGTTCATACTTACTTGCACAAATTCTCTTACACTTGTAAATTTATATATGTTGAAAATTTAATAAAATTTGGCAAAACTTTTTTTTATCAGTAAAAACAGAGAAAACTTTATTGATATAGAAGAAATTTGCAATGGAGAGCAGCCTCAGCTACCCTTGTAACAATAAACAGAAAAACAAACCCAGATTTTAGCTATTTAGAATTACAACCATGCCCAGAAAGTCTGTTCTCTTCTAACCCCTTGTTTTGCTAATTGATCTGCTAAATTGTTAGCCGACCTTGGAACCCACCAGATTGATATTTGCATATCTTTGGACAGACTTCTGAATTTTTTGATCTCATTTCTGAACCACCAAGGACTCTTTTCCTCTCCTCTCAACCAGCTTAGGATCACTTTAGAGTCCCCTTAGATTATCAAATTCTGAATGCCGAACTCCATTGCTTTTTGTAAGCCATACAGAACTGCCTCCAGCTCAGCTCTTATGGAATTCCCTTCTCCAATTGGTCCCAAGGATAACCCCAAGATTTCTCCCTTATCATTCCTTAACACTCCTATTCCAGAAGGGTCTAGATTACCAACACTGCTCCCGTCAACATTCAGCTTGAGGAAATCAGGTGTTGGTGGATCCCACTGTTGCAAAGCAGTAATATTGGCATGCTTTCAGACTTGGGTATATCTTGGGACTTTGGCTTCAGAAGGGGGCTAAGGGAAAACGAATGTGAGTCCCTATTGCTTTTGTTATCAACCCTCGAGAAGGTCTACTTAGACTAAACTACAGATGATAGTAGGGTTTGGTCTCCAACTCCTGATGGGTTATTCTCTTGTGCCTCCTTCAGTTTGCTCACTCACTCTAACCCTTTGGGGGTGAACTTCCCTGTGAGAGAAATCTGGTGTAAACCGATCCCTCCTAAAGTACCAGCTTTCTGTTGGGAAGTGTTCCTAGGGAAGGTGGTAAACACTTGTGATGTGCTACAGAAAAGAAGGCTAAACAAATGCCTATCCCCTCATGTGTGTGTCCTTTGTAAGGATTGTGGTGAAACCCTACCCCATTTACTATTATCCTACTCTTTTGTTTATTGTATTTGGGATTTTGTTTGTTCTCTCTTTGGATGCAGATGGGCTCCCCCACAGGATGTGGTAAGTCTATTCAGCCCCTCCTTCATGAGGCAGCAGAAGAAAAGAGGAAAGTGCTTATGGAAGGCAGTAAGAGCTGCTGTGTTATGGACTATATGGGAGGAAAGAAACCAAAGACTCTTCTCGGAAAAAAGTAAAACAAAGGAGGAACACATTGGGTGATGACCATGGAACTATTCAAAAAGTTCTCCATGAATGACATTCTAAGAAACTGAACTGAAGTAGCACAAACAGGCGTACCCAAAGAAGATGTGAGAGAGGAATGGAAGCCACCTGCAATGAACAAATTAAAACTAAACTTTGATGGGAGTTCCCTTGGTAACCCGGGAAGGGCAGGCATAGGGGGTGTGATAAGAAATCATCTGGGTGAAATTGTGGCACTCTTCTCAGGACCAGTTGTGGCACTCTTCTCGGGACCAATAGGTATTGGTGACTCAATACAGGCTGAATCTCTGGCTCTACTTCAAGGCTTAAAGATGGCTGAGCAGATTGAAACAACAGAATTAGAAATAGGAGACTCACTACTGGTCATCTCTTGGGCTAAACACATCACATCAGCACCTTGGAAGCTCAAATTTATCTACAGAGAAACTGACACAATTGCAAAGAGATTCAACTCTCAGTTTGCTTGGGTGAAAAGGACTGCAAATGGGTTGGCAGATACCCTAGCAAAACAGGGGGCAAATAGGCCAACCTTGTACTGGGCTGAACTATAACTGTTTTGTGTCTGTAGACTGGGTTATAGATTGGGTTAAAGCATTATTGCAACCTATATCTATTGTAATTCAATATTTCTCTGTTATTAATAAAAGTCTTGCTTGCTGAAAAAAAAAAGAGAAGACTAGTGGTGTCACCACCATGTCCTTAGGCTTACAATAAGAATCTATAGTTTAGGCTCCGATCTTGAAGGGGATGACATTGTAGAGACCTTCCCAATCTCAATTCTCTTTTCGGCTCTATCTTCTTTTTTAATTTTCCACAAGATGGTCCTTGGTGAACAGAAGTCGTGGCAGCATAAAATTTTCAATCCACTCAGTTGCTGAGCTCCAAAACACAATCCCATTGCCAACATTTTCCTTTCTAAAGTTGCTGCTACTCGACACTACAGACAGCACCCTCATCGTGGTCATCACAACCATCCACAATAACCCTTTGTTTGGGTAGATCATCACCGTTTCTTCCCCAAAACCCTAGTCAACAGAGAAACCCTTTCTTTGAGTAGATCATTGCTTGTGTTTAAGGGTTTCAGGTCCTAGACAAGCAATCTTTCTCGACCTCAGGCCTTTCTTAAGATCAAGAGCTATTTTCCACACTACTTCCCCAACAAATTCCCCCCTTAGACCTTCAGAGCCTATAGTCACCATTGTGTCCTCGGGCTTACAATAAGCATAAGAAGAAGGTCCATCAGCAGCTAAGAAATTAATTGGTGCCATGTAAAAAGGGGAAATTTTTTTTCAAGAGTAATAAAAGAAATTTTATTAAAAGAAAAAAAGATACAAGGTAAGAAAAAAGGGAAGATTTCACAACTGACAGGCATTACCAAAGGAGGCACTATCTATGCTTTCAAATTGTCATCAGCTGCCGAAACGCATGAATAGCCACCTGTAGTAGTAACTTGGTAAGTTACCAATCCAATGGCCTAAATGGTGAATATTTTGAACTATTAAACCAAATAGTCAAATAGTTGAACAGCCACTCAGAGCTAAAAATAGTTTGATCTATGGATTGGGTTTTACAACAACGGTACCCTTATCCACGTACATAATTTTAGACAATTGAGAGTTGAATCCTCATTTCCTAAATCTGTACTTGTGTAATTATGTTGAGGGCCCAGGAATAGGATCTCGTCACGGGTCGGTCCACGGGGAAAACCTCCTGTTTTCCCTTGTTCCTTCCTGCTCTTGATGAACCTATCTTGGCGCCTCTGGTGATTTGTTCAAGAGATCACCAACTCTCCTAACTCACTTCTTCAACTGAATATTCGATATCTCATTCAATAATGGGGTCTCCTTAAATAGGAGATTACAAGAGTCCTAATCAAAGGGAGTCTCCTTGCTGAATAGGGAGACTTCCAGTTCTATCTTGCTAAGGATAAGATAAGCTAATCCTAATTTGATAAGCTACTAACAAGATAAGATAAGAGATGAGAACAATAAGATAAGAACAAGCAAATGAGCTAATCTAATCTAGATAAGGCTGCTATTGCCGAACTGGGTAGGATGAGTATCACTGAATCATTGCTGCTGCTGCTGGTGGGTCAGGTGCCTGTTGCTGCCTGCGGCGATGGTACGTCTTCCCGAGGAAGGCGTCCATAACATTACTCCCCTCCTGGACTACGAGCTTGTCCTCAAGCTCGAACTTTGGATATGTGGCTTAGAACTCCGCCAATGGGATCCATGTGGCTTCTGTTGATGGTAAATTACACCATTCCACCAAGACATCAAGGGTTCCACGATTGAAACGAGAGCGGGTGACAGCTTTAGGTTGGGGGACCAGCTTGCCATCTTTCAAGGGTGGCAGGGAGGGAACTTGGTCCAGGGGAACACCCGTAAATGGCTTCAGCAAGGAGATGTGGAAGACATCATGAATCCGGCTGGTCTCAGGCAATTCCAGCTGGTAGGCCACACTGCCAATCCGTCTCAGAACCTTGTAGGGCCCATAGAACTTAGGGGCCAGCTTCGGGACAGCCTTGTGGCGCAAGGAGCGTTGCCGGTAGGGCTGGAGTTTCAACCAAACAAATTGTCCTAGGTCGAATGACAGTTCCCGGTGGTGCTTGTCATAGTGGAGCTTCATGCAGAGCTGGGCCTGCTGTAAGCGAAGGCGGACGTCGGCTAGGAGGGCATCGCGTTCTTGTAAGGAGTGATCAATTGCTTCCAAACGAGTAGAACCCGGCTCGTAGGACAGCAAGCAGGGAGGATCCCTGCCATAAACGACGCGAAAGGGAGTCATGCCAAGAGAAGAATGGTAGGCT